GGCTATTCTCTTTGACTCGAATACCCTTCCCACTTTTTTGTTTTGTTTTGTTTGACTGAAGCTCACTTATGCTTGAAGACTCATTTCAGGGATCACCTCCTTCAGCATGCCTCCCTGACTCCCCAGGCTGGCTCCGTGCCCTCCTCATGTTCTCACAGCATTGCCTTCACTTATTATAGTAAAAGTGCCGGTTTGTGCAGCTCTCCATCCCTGCTGGATAGTACCCTGGAGGGCAAACCCGGTATCTTATTTTTCATTTTTCCCACCAGCCTCTAGTATCAGGCCTGGCAAATCACCTGCTTTTGTTCATTTTTGTCAACATGAACTGATGGAAGAATATTTGGGTGGGAGACTGCATTGGACAACTAGGACAGCCGCAGCAAGCCTGGGGACTAGGCCAGTGTACCAAATGGCTAGTCTCTCCTGTTAGGGTGTGTGGGGCAGTCATATTGCTCCTAAGTCTACAGGGGACTGGAAGCTGATTGGGGGTCATGGATATTTTCTAACAAAGTGAGACATCTTAGTAAATGGAGTGGTGAAAACCAGACCATTTCATGCCATCTCTGTGGGAGTTCTGACTCTCCCTTCCTTGCTTTATACTTGAGGAAATGACTTAACTAAATCTCAGTTTCCTGAAACTAGCGCCTCCTCTGAGCCTCGGTGTGCTGTTATTTTTCCTTCTAGTTGAAGAGTCTCTCCTCAGCCAGCCTTCCTGTGGTTCTGGGTGATGTCCGTTCCGTCTTTTAGTTGTATTTTTGAAGTGGTTGTTTGCGGCAGCAGTCTCCGGTGTTTACCTATGCCGCCATCTTGGTCTCCCTCTGTGGGAGTTCTGACTCTCCCTTCCTTGCTTTATACTTGGAGGAAATGACTTAACTAAATCTCAGTTTCCTGAAACTAAAGTGGGATAGAAATAGTCCTAACATCACGGGATTGTTATGAAGATGAACTGAGGAAGTACTTAGCATTATCCCACAATAGGCAGTTTTAAGTGTTATTTGCTATTATTAATATCTTCATCATTTGGGGTGGTTCTCAGGGTTCTCTAGCTGAGTCCTATTCCTGAGTATGCCGTAGGGGTGATGAAGAGCCTTCTAGAAACATTTGGGTTTCTAAGGACTGGGGTGGACCCCCAGGATGTTGGGGTCTTTCTCAATTGGTGTCTGAAGCACAAAAAAATGGCCATTGGCTTCATCAGAGGTGCTCCTCTCCTATTGGCAAAAACCTCAGGCAAAAACCATTTCCTGGCAGGGCTGGAAAGAACAACTGGGAATTCACAGGTCATTTTCTACCTTCAATTCCAAAAATTTGGTGCAGGCATTTACTAGCCTCCTTCTTGCCTTGTATTCTTTCATCCTTTCCTTCAGCTCATCTGTTTTCATAGGGAAAAGTCTTTCTAAACTGGCCTCTGATTCTGACCACGTGATAGCTCATTTCCCATAGAAACCTGTTGCCACAGGTGTCCGTAAGACTGAGGAGAACAAAGACTGTGATCCTCCTTGATTCTCCTGCTGGGTAAGAGAAGCAGGAGTCCCTGTCCCTGTTAATCAGGATAACTCCACTACCTCAATGTTCCGTGTCCTTTGACTGCAGAAGGCCAGCTTTCTTCCCTAACCTGTGGATAGCCTGCCTTCTTGGGTTTGGCTGGTCTACACAGCTGCCACCTCCTGTCACCTCGTTGGCTCTTGATCAAAGAGCTGCTCCAGCTGTGCCCACCTTCTGTCTCCTCCTGCATGGGGCTTATCAGAGGTGTGGGGTTTTCAGAGGTCAAGGCAGGGTGCCAAGATCTGTCTCTATCCATATCTCTCTAGGGTGGGTGATTGTTAAACCTGTGAAGGGGTCTCTGTGTACATCACAGATTATGAGAGCTTTTTCAGTCTTTTGAATATGGATGCTGAACACCTTCAACCACTCTGCTCTTCCACAGTCATTCTTGTAACCTTTTCTCTTCGGAGTGAGGTCAAAGCCCCAAACACCTGCTCTGATGACCCCCAGTACCTGGACTAATGGGGAATGTAGGCCTCAGCACTTGGCTGCCATTCTGGGGAATAGGAAACCAAGTTAATCCACAGAGCCCTTTGGGAGGAAGGCCTTCAAGATTACAGCATGCACCAAGGCGTACTGTGTCCTAAGAGAACTTCTCTTTGTGTACAAGCCTTGGGAGTTTAAAGAGGTCCTATATAACCTCTAAAATCGAGTGAGAATTTGTCTATGGTATTTGTATATTCTGTTTCTAAAACAAATGGCTATATTCAGATCATAAAATGGTTTTAAAAAAGGCCAATATTGGAGTGGTGTTAGTCTGCTCAGGCTGCCATAACAAAATACCATAGACTGGGTGGCTTAAACAACAGAAGTTAATTTTCTCACAGTTCTGGAGGCTGGGAGTCCAAGATCAAGGTGTTGGCCAATTCCGTTTCTGGCAAGAGCCGTCTTCCTGGCTTGCAGATGGCCACTTGCTATGTCTTCACATGGTAGATATTCTCTCTCTCTCTCTCTCCCTCCCTCCCTCCCTCCCTCTCTCCATCCCTCCCTCCCTTTTTTTTTTTGGTCACCAATCTTATCAGAGTAGGACCCCACCCTGTGACCTCATTATACCTTAATTACCTCTTTTTTTAAAAAATATATTTTATTGACTTTTTATAGAGAGGAAGGGAGAGGGATAGGGAGTTAGAAACATCGATCAGCTGCCTCCTGCACACTCCCCACTGGGGATGTGCACGCAACCAAGGTACATGCCCTTGACCGGAATCGAACCTGGGACCCTTCAGTCCACAGACCTATGCTCTATCCATTGAGCCAAACCAGTTAGGGCCTTAATTACCTCTTAAAAGCCCTATCTCACTGTACATTCACATTGGGGCTTAAGGCTTCAACACATGAATGTGTGGGGGGTGGAGGGGATAGACACAATTCAATTATAGCTCTGAGTAAGCTTCCTTAGTGACTACATAGATTTATTCCAAAAACATACATTTACTGAACACCCTACTATCTCACTATTAGGATACCATGATAAACAGAATAGACATAGTCTTTGCCTTTGTGTCATTCATAGTTTAGTAGGTGAGTTAGACATTAATCATATAACCTCACACAAAATACAGGTAACTTCAAAGCTTTATAAATGCTGTGAAAGAAAGTAAAGAATGTGACGAGAGAACACAACAGAGGGAGTTGACCATTTTGGGGGCGAGGGAAAGTTTTCTTGAGAAGGCAAATTAAGCTATGATCTGGATTGTTAAGAATGGGGATGCAAAGAAGAAACAGTCATGTCAGGAATGCATGGATGGTGTCATGTGCAAAGGTCCTGAGGTGGAAAATAACCTGATAGGAAGTTCATTGTTGCTGAAGTGCAGTAAGAGGAAGAGTGGCGGGAGATAAAGGGGGGAAAGAAGGAAGTGATAGTGTAAGTTTTTGTTTTGTTTTTACTTTTTAAAAACAGATTACTGTGGCTATATAAGGAAATGGACTAGAGAATGGCAAGAGTTGGAGTGGTGAATTCAGTTTGGTAGTTGCTGCATAGATTCATCAGGTGAGGAGTAATGGTGTCTTGGGCTGTGACGGTGGTAATAGAGGTCAAGGAAGAATTGATAGGACTTAGTGCTGGATTGGATAAGGGACAGGTCAGAGAGGAAGGCTTGCAGACTAGCAGGAGTAACTGGGTGGATGGAGGTGCTATTTTCTGAGATGGGAAACAGCAGAGGAGGAGGAGCAGGTCTGGATGCAAATGAGCATTTCTCTATTACTAGAAGTTCCCCACATGGTTGTAGCAGAAGTGGAAAAATTGGCAGTTTTTTTAAAGCTATTGCATGGTTATTTGCATTCTCATTCTACCTGGATGAGGCAATGAGTGGAAAGATGAGTCTTAGTTTCAGTGGAGTTTCTTTCCATTCTTCTGAATTCACCTTTTAATAGCTTGAGGCCAGCAGATGAGGCTGCATTTCACCCCGAAATCTTGTCTCCAGTTAATAACACTTATTTGAGAGCCACTTGCATGTTTTATTAATAGTGATTTCTACCACGTGGCTTTTTCAGGGTTTGGTTTGGAATTTGAGTGGCTGACTGATCTTCATCTTCCTGTAACTGGAAACCAAAACTATTTCATAAGCATGTTTTGCTGGAGGGCCAAGGGCTGCTGTGGACTGGGTCTTGGGCAGAACTTACAGGGCCTTGGTTTAGCTACATTGCAGGTAGCACTCACTACAGAATCAACTCTCTTGATTTTCCAAGCAATCTCAGAATTACAGCTTGCCTGCAGAAGTTTTGCATTGAGGGCTCAATTGCACATAGACAAGGTGTTCTGTTTTGGAGGTTAGCTCATGATAAGTTCAAGTCAATATGTGTTCTTGCAAACCTATGTTATGCAAGATTCTTGAGTATGATGACATTGAGGTAAAGAAGACTGAAAACCCTAGAAATAGTATAAGTGGGGATGAAAATTTAGGTCATCTTTGGCCTATTTTAAGTTGATTCTTTAAAAAAATATATTTTGATTGATTTAAGGGAGGAAAGGAGAGGGAGAGAGAGATAGAAGCTTCAATGATGAGAGAGAATCATTAATCGGCTGCCTCCTGCATGCCTCCTACTGAGGATCAAGCCCGAAACTTGGGCATGTGCCCTGGGAATCGAACTGTGAACTCCTGGTTCATAGGTCGACTCTCAACCACTGAGCAACACCAGCTGGGCTTAAGTTGATTCTTGAGAACTCTCACTGATAACAGTAGGGTTGGGAGACAGGACAAGATGGCATCACTTATGTTTCCATTACCAGTATTCTCAGCTATTTTAAGCATTCTACAACTGAGTCTCCACCAGATGGTCCTGAGGACAAAGCAGCTATTTGTGTCTCCCACTGATATGTATTTTTCCAAGTGAGAGACTGCCCCATATGTTAGTGCAATATGTTATTCAAGATGAAATACCAGCTTCTATTGGTGGGAATCTGCCATTGCCGTCTCCCTTTTCCTCATGCATTTTCCTACCTCTCTGGTCTTTTCTAGGTCTCTGGCCTGTCAGGAGGACCGTTGGTGCTGCAGTGGAAGCCAGTGGCTAAGTCTCATGTATGGCGTGGTTAAGGTTGCAGCCTCTCACCTCTGCCTTCCTCCATTTTGGGCTGATAACTTTTGTGCTCTTCCTGAATGGTCTTCGGGCAGAGACTGGTGGCTCAGGGGATGTGCCCAGCACAGGGCAGAACAATGAGTCCTGTCGGGAGTCATCAGACTGCAAGGAGGGTGTCATCTTACCAATCTGGTACCCGGAGAACCCTTCCCTTGGGGATAAGATTGCCAGGGTCATTGTCTATTTTGTGGCTCTGATATACATGTTCCTTGGGGTATCCATCATCGCTGACCGCTTCATGGCATCTATTGAAGTCATTACTTCTCAAGAGAAAGAGGTGACTATCAAAAAGCCCAATGGAGAGACCAGCACAACAATGATTCGGGTATGGAATGAAACTGTCTCCAACCTGACCCTTATGGCTCTGGGTTCCTCTGCTCCTGAGATCCTCCTCTCTTTAATTGAGGTGTGTGGTCACGGGTTCATTGCTGGTGATCTGGGACCTTCTACCATCGTGGGCAGTGCATCCTTCAACATGTTCATCATCATTGCCATCTGTGTGTATGTGGTCCCTGATGGAGAGACTCGTAAGATCAAGCACCTGCGAGTGTTCTTTGTCACTGCTGCTTGGAGCATCTTTGCCTATATCTGGCTCTATATGATCCTGGCAGTCTTCTCTCCTGGTGTGGTCCAGGTTTGGGAAGGCCTCCTCACTCTCTTTTTTTTCCCAGTGTGTGTCCTTCTGGCCTGGATGGCAGATAAGAGACTGCTCTTCTACAAATACATGCACAAAAAGTACCGCACAGATAAACACCGAGGAATTATCATAGAGACAGCGGGTGGCCACTCCAAGAGCATTGAGATGGATGGGAAAATGATGAATTCCCACTTTCTAGATGGGAATCTGGTGCCACCAGAAGGGAAGGAAGTGGATGAGTCCCGCAGGGAGATGATCCGGATTCTCAAGGATCTGAAGCAAAAACATCCAGAGAAGGAGTTAGATCAGCTGGTAGAGATGGCCAATTACTATGCTCTTTCCCATCAACAGAAGAGCCGCGCCTTCTACCGGATTCAAGCCATCCGTATGATGATTGGTGCAGGCAATATCCTGAGGAAACATGCTGCAGAACAAGCCAAGAAATCCGTTGCTATGAGTGAGGTGCACGCCGATCAGCCTGAGGACTTTGTCTCCAAGGTCTTCTTTGACCCATGCTCTTACCAGTGCCTGGAGAACTGTGGGGCTATACTCCTGACAGTGGTGAGGAAAGGGGGGGACACATCCAAGACCATGTATGTGGACTACAAAACAGAGGATGGTTCTGCCAATGCAGGGGCTGACTATGAGTTCACAGAGGGCACCCTGGTTCTGAAGCCAGGAGAGACCCAGAAGGAGTTCTCTGTGGGCATCATTGATGATGACATTTTTGAGGAGGACGAATACTTCTTTGTGAGGTTGAGCAATGTCCGCATAGAGAATGAGCAGCCAGAGGAAGGGATGGCTCCAACAATACAGAATAGTGTTCCCTTGCCTTCCAGGGCTGTCCTGGTGTCCCCTTGTGTGGCCAAAGTTACTATCTTGGATGATGACCATGCAGGCATCTTCACTTTTGAATGTGACACTATTCGTATCAGTGAGAGTATTGGTGTCATGGAGGTCAAGGTTCTGCGGACATCTGGTGCCAAGGGCACAGTCATCGTTCCCTTTAGGACAGTGGAAGGGACAGCCAGGGGTGGTGGTGAGGATTTTGAAGACATATATGGGGAGTTGGAGTTCAAGAATAATGAAACTGTGTAAGTAACTTTCAGTATTCTATCCCCTGCTATCCCTTGCCATATCCTTCTATCCTTCTGCATCACTTTTTAAAATTTTTCTTGGATTTGTGTTAACATCAAACTTTGGTTCCATCACAGGTATGCAGGATCAGCAGACACTACTGGCAGTTTCTGCTTCCAAACTCTCCTTCAGTTTTCTCACTTTAAAATGTTTCTAGGCAAGGAATCCTGAGGCAGGATCTAAGGACACAGATTTTGTCTACTGAAACACAGCATGATGGCTGGTGGAGGTGTGGGGTGACAGAAGTTCTGATATCAGATTTTGGAGAATTCTTGTGATTAAGCGAGAGCTAGGAGACTACTCGGGTGTCTCCTTCCTCCTCTCCTTGTGCCAAGAGCTTCTATGAGCTTTGAAGCCAATCCTTTCCACTCTGAGACAGTGATAGCCCAATCAGGACATCCTCAAGAAAGCAAGTGGCACTGGGTGTTGTTTTTTTTTCCAGTGCCATATTGTAGTTGTATTGTACAACCAGATTTCAGGTACCTCTCCTTCAATTTGGAAATTGCAAAGTTGATTGAAACTTGGCAATCTGTTTAAATGCTTGTAGGCTCTTCTATGAGGCTTGCCTAGTCTAGGTGAGATGAGTCAGTATGGCTTGGTACTGGATGTATGTTGGAGGAGCAGAGCTCCCAGGGCAGCAGCCACTGTCTTTAGTCACAGATCTAAGCTCCAAATTCTGTCTAAGCAGTGAAGGAGAAGCCTTTTAAGAATTGCTGGAGAAAACACATCTTCTGTGTGGTCATCTCTTTTCACAGCCTGGAATTCTCCTGAAATAGTTTCCAGGTTATGGCCCCATTTAGTCCTTCTCACACAGTGGGTATTACACTTCTATTGCCTCTGTAACTCTCCCCATTGAACTTTCTTATGCTGGGTCCTCTGTCCTCTTTCAGATAGATGGCTGTGAAGAAGAACACAGAATGACTTTCCCCAGGATTTGCAGCTTATGGGAGGGTAGACTTTCCAGGGGGGCCAAGAAGGATGGGGATGAGAAAGGAGAACCTTGCCTCCGAATTCCTGTGGTGTCCACAAATGATAAGCAGTGGCAGGAGAAGGTGTGAAGAACAAAGGGGGAATATA